AAAAAAAAAAAAAAAAAAAAAAAATTACCTCAAAAATAAGGACAAACCCTATCCCGAATTGAATAAAAAATGGCGTTCGTTATATTCATTGTTGCGAAAGATGTTCGATTTTTCCATATTTGAAAAAATCAAAGTAATATAATAACGTTTATTAAAAAAAAATTTATTGAGAAAATTAAAATTGATCACATTTTTCATGTATATATTCTCAGCGACATATTAATTTCTAAATAAAAGATGGCACAAGTTTTATCGTATAGCTTTTATTAACAAAAAAAATGTCATATTCAATATATTCATCTATTAACATTTGATATTCGGAAATCAACAAAGTCAAGACGACCATTTTAATCGAAACGTTAACTAGTAAATAATATTATTTGTAAATGTTAATTTAATTAAAACCCAGGAAAAAACATTTTTAATTGTATCGTTAATATGTATAATAACTTACAAAATTAATTAGAAATTTTTTCCAATAAAATATCTGCGGTAAAAAAAAATTTTTTTCAACAACACTTATTTTCCGTAAACAATCTTTAACCTTACCTCAACGGAAATTGCGCCCAACACGTTGAAATAAATTGAGCTTTCTAACGGTCGTTTCAAATGATTTGATTGGATGAAAATAAATCGATTGCTTGTGATTTTTATAGGTAAATATGGTGGCTTTTTATTAAGGACAATTAACGAAATTATAACCCGAATTATAAATCGTTTATCGAGAGGCACACCAATAATAATTACAAATAAAAACATATTATGCTTATTAATGTATTAAAATGGCTTTGTCTAAGAGGAAATTTTTAAATTTTAATTCAATGTAAATGTTTGATGGTGTTTCATTTCTTCAAATGTTTAAAAATTGCTTTCAGTTTCAAACATACAAATTAAAATTTTATTTTAAATTTTTTATTTAATTTTAAATTTTCTAGGTCTCGATTTAAATATAGGGAAATACTTCTTAATAAATTTTTTATTAAAATTTGTTAATAATAATAAAATAATATATTTCATATAAAAGACAATATTTTCTTTAATTTTATGTGAAATTTTTTATAAATTACAAATTTATTGCTAATCTCTATAGAAGAAGTTGTTTTGACACTGTATCGGCAACATCTTTTCCAACTAAATTTTCAACTATAGATAAAGCGAAATCAAAGGCAGTACCAGGTCCACGACTTGTAATTAAATTACCTGCAAATAATATATAGAAATTTTAATTTTCCCAATAGAATTTAATATTATGATTTACTTCGATTTATTTTTCATTTTATCTAACTTTTTACAATATTCCTTTTTGAATTTTACTAAGATAAAATAGTTTTTCTTTAAAGAATATAAAATATTATATTCTATAGTAATCGTATAAAAAATTTTTATTACACTAACCATCGACAACGACTTTATCTTGCAAATAATTATACTGTTGACCTTCCATTAGAGCAGTCTCAGTTGATGGATAACTAGTAATTTTTTTTCCTAAACATATTTGATGAGCTTTTAAAGCGGTAGGAGCAGCACAGATAGCCGCAATCATTTTTCCAGATTCCTCTTGATCTTTTAATAATTTTCCTACTTGCAAACTCTAAAAAATAATAATAACCTTATGAAAATCTGTTTGAATAAAAATTAAAATAACTTAATATTAAAAAAAAAAATTCACTTTAGCAAATGTTTCCGATCCTTTTAATCCTCCTGGTAGAACAATAACATCATATTGTGATTTGCTAATCGCTTCTTCCAAACTTAAATCTGGCATTATTTTTACTTGTCTCGAGCAATCATGAACACCATTTCCTTGAACACCGGCCACAGTAACATTTATCTGTAAAGAAGACAATATAAATTTACATGTTATTAACTATAAAATAATTTTAATAATTTAAAAACTAAGAAACTTACGCCTGCTCTTCTGAGAACATCTACGGAAATGACAAATTCCATTTCTTCACTACCTTCAGATAATAAAACTAATGCTGATTTTTTTGACATGGTAATAGAATAAAATTTTACGGTATTAATCAATTTAAGAAATGGTGTTCGCGATGATAAAATTTTAAACATTCTGTGACCTTAATGTTGTTTATATTTTACTCTATGAAAAAGGTTTAGGTTGGCAACGGTAAAATTTCAAATTACTTTAGCATCTTTTATTCAATTATAAAGCGACTATGTCCAAGTTTGAAAAAAGTAAAAATTTTAAATTATATTAAATGCACTTATTTTTCATTAATTCATAATTAAAGTATATAGATATTTCGAATAGTTATTTATTTAAAATAATTATTTTATGGATTTGGGAAAAATTTTATTTTAAAATAAAAATTAAGCATATAACAATTGTAACAAATTACGCTTTTTTTTTTTTTTTTTTTTTTTTCGTAAATAAATAATTATAAAGTAAATTCAAAGTTTTCACCTTTTTCATCTATTTAAAATTAAAATTAATTTTTTTTTTTTTTTTTTTTTTTTTTTATACCTTAAAATTATTAAATGTTTTTGTTTTTTTCTATAGTGAAATCTCCCGAAAATTTTTCTGAAAAGCTTTGGCCAGGCATTCGACCAACGAGAGTGAAAGGTGATTTCGTTTTTATATTTTCTCTCTTTCCAATTTCTTGTAATTTGGTCGATTCTATTGTTTCGTAAGTATTTTCATCGGGTAACAAGGTCGTGATATTTTCATTATTTTCATTTTGTATTTTTTTCAAATGATTTTGAAAGCAAACACAACCGACCGCTTTTAACAATGACATTCTCTTATAGGAGGAAAGGTAAAAGTTAAGAAATAAAACGATTAAAACGGAAACGTAGCAAATTACATAAAACTTCAACCATCTTGGTACTTCGCATCCGGAAATCGAACCGAGGAAAACATGAGCGAGTACTGTAATAAATTGAGTCTGAAATATTCAAATTTATTTATTATTTATAAAAAGAACTTACAAGTTTACATTTAATTAATTAATTAAAATTTATATATATATATAATTACCAGTTGCAATATCGTTAAATATTTTTTCCACCAAAGAAATTTATGAAATCTGGGTCCGACAGCCGAAAGCAAATAGTACCAATACATTATGACGTGAACAAATGAATTCAAAAACGTACTGACGATAGCTTTAAACCAATTATTATATATATATTTAATTAATCATGTATTACTATTAAAAAAAATTTATATAGGAAATGGTTTTCTGTATGTTCGAATCAATTTACTTTTTTTAGATATAAATATTACCTTGGCCTCCTGGAATATATAACATTCCTAAATAACTATTAAAAAGCATGGTTGAGTGATGGAATAAATGAAGGAAGCTCATTTGTTTTGTTTTCTTTCTTAAAACAAAGAATAATGTATCTAATAAATCAACATATTTCGAAATATGATACCACCATGAACTGCTAGCCACCTATTAAATTAAAAAAAATTTTTTGAATTTTTGTTCCTCCCTCGATTTCAATGTAAAATTTATTATTTAAAACTTTACTTACTCTTATAGCAACAGGATCCATTGAAACATCAACTCGTGACAAGT